ATCATACATTTGAATGAAGTGCGTTCATAATTGAGTTACGTGTTAAAGTCCGGTCATCTGCAATCCGGGCTAGTCGTGATCGGATGCCCCTGCTGTATCCCACATCGAACTACGGGAAGGAAAATGCATCTTATGTTTTCCCTCGAACAGCTAACTGTTCCCGCTAGCCCACATTTTATTCAGGAGGACATTCAGCCACCATCCTCTCGAACCGTTTCTGCAACAGCTCTACTATCAGAAACCTCTACATGCGCTACCTTCTGGCACAATTCTGCGGCTTGAAACGGGGTAGATACACCCGGTCTATGCGGTCTTATGGGAGACTTTAGAAAGTGCACTGCTTCCCAGTTAACACTACAACCCCGTACCTTCGACCAAGTGGGGGAACAGTCAGTGGATACCCAGCTCGCAATCCCGCCACATTTAAACAACGCCTTTCAGTGTACACAATCAGTTAAAGTTGTGCAGTATACTCGGACAACACACAGCGATTATGCAGTCTTTTCGCCTAAGCAAGAGGAATAATTATCAATCGACTGTATACGGGCGTTAAACTTGTAGATAATAATGCACATGGCAGACACTTCCGGAGGCGACGTTTTTACGACAACGGACGATAAAAACTAACCTTGTTTCGTCAGTATCAGGCATGTGAACAGTATGCGCCACGTAGGTGAGTCGCTGCTGCAACACAAGAGGTGCCTGTTGTTAGATTCGATTTCCGTAGAACACAGTTTCTCACAGAAAAGGAAAAGTTATGGAACTAAACCAAAAAGATTCCACAACTAATATGAAGTATGCAAAAAACACAAAATTGGCAAGACGGCTAATCAAACACGTTTCGAATTGCATTAAATCGGCTAAATGAATGGTGAGAATCAACTTGGCCCGTTAGCTCATATAAAAGAACCACCCACATCAAAGAGCTTATAAACGAGTGAATGACAGCGAAGAAATCTGTCTTCGGACATCCTATCGAGTGGACGGGTAAATCACTTTTCCGCTTCCCTTTAAAATGTTCAATGAATCTCAACCTAGTTAAGTGTTTTCTGGGTGGTGATCAATCACAACAACAGTTATGCTGCTTGAATAGTACACCGTAAGTAGCTACTTGTGGAGTACGGTGCAATCAGTATCACTGTTGCTGCAAGTCATCAAGTGAGATTTTTCATGAGCGTGAAATTTCCATTAATCCTATTTGCTCACTTATTATTTCTGCTTCTTAAGGATGCAAAATGTTCAACAGCGATTGCAAAAACCTATGAGCACCATGTAACTTCCTTCCAAAAGCATAGAGAAATATGGGCTTTTCCTCAGGCGGAATATATACATAGCATGTAGTTTGGAAGTCTTCAATATAAGTGTGAGGACAGGTGAGGTTCAAAATCATTCGGTAATTAAAACAGATTCTTTAAAACCGAAAGATAACCCCCCTTTCAAGTTGAGAACTGAATTTGTCACCGAACGGGTACAATAAAAATATATCATGCATGTTCTCTATAAAATATACTTCCACTTTCAACGGTGACGAAGATCAATAGGGAAAATGCATGTTACTTAAGAAGCCCTTTTTACGCACGGGGTCGGAGAGAAGCTAGTTCGAAAACCGGAAGGTTGATCTGTCTGAAACAGGCTGAGATTGTGCTGCACGACAAGTAGTACAAGATAAGGGCACTTTTCGGAAAGCCGCAAAACGTTTAATGAGATAGCAGATGCACAGTAGCTACTTAACTACAGGCGAACGCACGCATAAATTATAACAAACCACCAGAAGTAACTTTATAAATAACGGACTAACGGAGCCCGGTGCGGCCTCTATGAAAACTGCTGGATGACTACTCAGGGACTCTTTCCTCCAAGACAGGCCCACGTGGAGTCAAGTACATATACAACACGCGAAAGTCTGTCTGGTGCTATCGGTCACCGTGCCCACGTCTATCCCCGGAACTTTGAATTACTGTTTGGAATACGGAGTGTTCAAGAAATGCTGAGACAGTCAGTTTGATCAGCACTGCACCCGCCCATACAGCCTTTACTTCCCTCTTTCACTCGAAATCAAGGAGCCTGACGCACTTGGGTGAGTTGCTACGGTAAACTTAGACGCCTTACTTGCACAAACTTCGTGACCTAGTACGATGCACTGGTTGGTCCTTTCCAACAAGCGAAAGGCCCGAGTCAGTGAGGCGGACCAGAGGCGCGCACACCATGGTGCCAAGGTCGCACGGCGAGACAACGTGAGCGTTGACTCAACCAATCACGAATGCTACCTCTCCCGCCCAGTTCCTCGTAGCTGGACTACAAAAACATGTCAATGCTTGCTGTTCTATCATTTTCTCTGACGATAGCCTCCTGTACAAAGCCAAAAGCTCAGGCTAATATAAGTGCTCTCCCAGTGATTGCGCCTTTGTCTCCTATGCATGTTGGTATTCGAGCTGGTAAAACTTATGATCGGCGATAGGGAGAAGCCCATTCCTTTAAAGATGCGCAACAAATAAGAGCAGGATAGAAAAGTAAGCTTGTAGCCGTCATTGTTTGGGTCCACAAAATAACAAAATATGTTTTTTTTCAATAAAATATGTACAAAACGCCAGCGCATGAAATCCTGGTGTTAGTAGAAAATACAAGCGCGCATATGGGTGTCAGGAAGGATAGATACAAGCTAGGTAGGTGTGAATAGATCTACAATACAACTCAATAAATAAGGAATTGAAGATTGTATGCCTATGGTAAATTAAGATTGACCTATCATAACAAAACAAACGGCAATTGGGGATTCAGAGAGGTAAAATAGGCTGGAGGTGGGGAGAGGGAAGGAAGGTGCGGACAAAGACCCTGAGAATCAGTCATTTCGGTGGTGGTGGTGGTGGTGGTGGTGGTGGTGGTTGCAATTACGGTTTAAAAGGAACCAGGGGGCTGGGACTCCATGGAAACAGAAGAAGGAATAGTAGGATGTACAGGGATAGAGGGACGATCAGAGCTATGAATAAGGGCCCATTTAAAGTACTCATACACGGACCAAGAGATGGCTGTGCCGGGCAGGGTGGCTACAACGCGAGCGTTCAAGCCAAGGACAAGACCCCGGAAACCATGGGTTTTGATAACAAAATGTCCAGCCGAGAGTAAACCGCGGATCAACTTTGGTTTGTCGGCCTTTTGG